CTGCCCTTCAAGGACAGCTCAAGCCCCACCTTCCCCCAACACCCTGCCTGGTTCTTTTCTCCACGTTCCAACCTCTTACTATAAAAAATCAACAAACTACCAGCTTTTAGTTGTCTCACAAATGTGAACTTTGTCTTCTCAATTAGACTAAGTTCTCAGTGGCAGGAAAGCAGGCATTTCATTTAAACCCGTAATTTTTACTCTCATGACCAAATGTTGCATATTTTCCAAACTAGCACGGATTTCAAATATTCTGTCCTTGAAATGCCGATATTTCTACATCTCCCTGACTACCTCTCCTAGAGTGGCTTAAAAATTATTTCTCAGATCATATGCTTCCCCAATTTTTGAATCCAAAAGTACAGCTTTTATACTCAGGACAGCTCTAGGTGTCAAAGAGGCACTCAGGGAGGACTTGTTTCAAGAAAAAAATGTGAAATTTTGATTTTAGCCTGCCAGCATTCTCTTACTGCAAGGACTTTTTTTTTTTTTTTTTTTTGGCGGGGGGTGCTGTGTTTTAACAGTAACTTTTTGTTCTCATTTATTCACCTCAGAGTTTTAAAGTGTTTACAAAATAATAGATTCTAATTCAAAACCCCAGGACCCCGCTAGCTGGCACAGCCCAGATACTGACACCAAGCTGGTTAGAGAACCAGTATGCGTAGGTTCAGGATTACGGAGTAACAAGAAATGGTTCCTTCCCTCGAAGGGCAATTTGGCCAACTATTTTAACAAAGCTTTGCAAACACAAACCCCTCACCAGCCCAGATTTCCTCCTAGCCAGCCTGGTGGGGGCACCCCCATTCCTGCTATACCCACGCAAGTAGCTGAAGTCCTGAATGTACTTCTGTGGCCCTGGGCAGGGAAGTGAGGTGTTGTATTATAAACAGCTTAATGAGGCTTTGAAATAAGACAGGCTGGGGCTGAATTCAGGTTCTGCCAGCCACAGGCTGGGTACACATAAGTAGGCTTACCTCCTCTGAGCCTCAGCTTGCTCACCTGAGAAATGTCTACTTCCAGGGTAGTTGTGAGGGAAATGCCTGCAGAGTGATGCAAAGGAATCAATGTGGTTTTGAGTCAGCTACAGGTGGCAGCAGACACGGCTCCAGAACTTACCGGGTGTGTGGCCTGGGACAGGTTGCTTAACCCCTCTGAGCCTTAGTTTTCTCACAGGCAAAAAGAAAAAGGGTGACAGGCCTTGCAGGGTCATCACGAAAATTATTTAAATACTGTACACAAAAGGAGTACAACAGGGCCTGGCACATGGGAGACATTCAAAAAACGCCAGCTTTCATTCACCACTCCCCACTTATTTGGTTTTGATGGACAAGTTGATAATTACTACTGGAGAAAAAATTTTTCCAAGCTCTAAATACCAAAGAATATTAAATAGATCTGAATTGTTGGAGGGAAGAGGAAGGACTTCCAGTAACACCACTGGTCCATCCTTAAAGTCCCCACAGGACCCTGCTCAGTGCCCACCAGCACCACTCCCCACCCTGTCCAAGCTGACAGCAAACGGCTTGCCTGATGTGGGAATGATGAAGCTGTTTTTCACACAGAGGGCTATATTCACTGCCTCTGCAAGGGCACTTGCTTTCTACATTCCCCTCACTAAAGAAAGCATCCCAAATAACTGAGAGTGACAATGCCTGTGACTACAGTCTGAATTATAATCACTAAGAACAAAGTAAAAGCACCTCTTTGGAAAACCAAATTTCCTTCCCAAGTGTCACGCCATCATCTTCAGAGTACTATTTGGAAGCATTTAAGAGGAAGAAAGGAACTGCCATTTTTTAGTTCCCCCTGTACAGCCAGGCCCTCTCCTACCGTTACATGCCCACTCATTTAATCCCAAACAGGTCCCTAGACCAGCAGCAGCACTGCACTACAAATGCACATCGTTGGCCTTACCCCAGAGCCAGTGACTCAGAAACCCTGGGGAGGAAGTAGTAGTGTCTCTGAGAGCCCTCCAGGTGACTCTGAGGCAGACTGTGGGGAGGCCCTGGAGGTCTAGTCTGTGAAGAGGATACTCTCTGCCCCACTACTGCCCCACTCTTGACATGAGGAAACTGAAGCTCAGCACTCACAGTGCCCAAAGATAGGAGGCCAATTTGTACCCACATCTGATGCTCTCTGCCACCTGGCCTTTGTAGCCAAACGGTCTATACCATTTGGTGCTTCTCAGCTAAGCCACCAGGATGTAGGGATGACATGCCCTCATGAAGGGTGGGGGTGAGAGGTAAGCCGAAGGCTGCACTCAAGTGATTCATTATAGATGCTTTTCCATCCCACCCTGCATTAGCCCTGGTGATCAGCCCTCGAGGATGAGCCTGCTTCTCCCTGTCCTACTTGCCCACAGGTCACCACAAGGAGAACATGAGAGTGCCTTATTCAAAGCCCCTGTAGGCACTCAGTCCCTTGCACTGCTTTGAACAGAAAGAGTGAAGCTACCTGTTTTGTCTCTAGAGGGCTTCAAGGTCCAAGATCTGGTTCAAACCCAAATCTAGTGTCTGTCAGCCAAAGTGGTCCCTCAGATTCTTAACATGCAAAGCACACTGCTTTCACAGAACCTATGGCCAGGAAAAAGGCAGGAAATCTCCTTATGTACCATTTCCAACCTTCTGAGTAAACTTGGTGGGGACTTTCAGATCACCAGTTTATACTGTAATTTAAATGATTACCCATTCTGCCATTGCTTTCTAAAGGAACTGGTGGAGTAGAAGGGACCTAGATTTGGGAATCACACAGATCTGCTTTGAATCCTGACTGGGCCAGTGCCTTGCAGGTTGCTTAACTTCTCTAGACCTCAGTGTTTCTACACACAAATGGAAGGTACTCCCTACCTCACAGAGTCAATCTGAAGGTGAAATGAAATTATGCTTTAATAAAAAGCTGCTAACACAGCTTTGTATTTCAAAGCATGCCCAGCTTGATAGTCTGACTGGAAGTAGGTAAGGTCCAATAGGCCATAAATGGAATGATTGCATACACACTGAACTGCATGTGCACCTATTTCACTGTGATTGTTTTTCTAACTAAGCTTCTATTTTTAGACACCCTGAACAAGGTAATTAAGACCAAAGAAAATTCCATTGCTTAACTTATCAGAAAACTAGTTAATTTTAAAAAATTCAACAGATGGACACAGTTATTTGAGAACGCAACTGAGAAAAACAAAATGTACTCTCCTAGTGACTTTCTGTTGATGGTGATGGGAAAGGTGGCAATGAATATGGGTGATAACGGCACAACTTGATTAATGTAAGTGATTCAACTAATGGGGCACAGTGGTTAAGAGCTCGGCTGCTAACCAAAAGGTCAGCAGTTTGAAACCACCAGCTGCTCCTTGGAAACCCTATGGGGCAGTTCTACTCTGCCCTATAGGGTCGCTATGAGTCAGAATCAACTCAGTAACAACGGGTTTGCGTTTTTTTTTGGTACATAAGAAAAAGGACGAACTGGCAAATGTTATGTTATATATAATTTTGGAACAACAACCAATAAAAAAGGGGGGCTACAACTGCTGATACTACTTAGGCACAAACAAACACCTCATGGTACTAATTTTCTCAATTTGAAGGTTTAGGGTAATGGTCTTGTGGGACAATCCAGTCAACTGGCATAATACTGTTTTTAAAGGTTCTGTTCTACCTCCCAGTTCGATGAGTAGCGTCTGGGATCTTAAAAGCTTACTAGTGGCCATCCAAGATACAACAATTAGTCTCAATTTGCCTAGAGCAACAGAAGAAGAAGAAAACCCAAGAATCAGAGAAGCAACTGGACTACAGGACTGTCTCCATGAACCACTCCTTCCTCTAACATGAGACCAGAAGCACTGGATTGTGCCCAGCTACCATTAGCTAACGTACAGATGGAGGACACAAAAGGTGGATCCTGACAGAAAGGGAAAAAATGTGGAACAGAACTTCAAAAAAACGTGGAACAGAACTTCAAATCCCCAAAGAATCCAGACTTACTGGACCCACTGAGGCTGGAGGAACCCCCAAGACTACTGCTCTGGGATACGCTTCAAACCTTGAAGGGAAAGTATCCTCTGAAGTCATCTTTAAATAAAAAAAAGTTTAGCTTAAAAAATAATGTCACCCTTAAGAATTGCACTCTTTTAAAAAATTATCTATACAAGACCAAACGGACAACATTAACGCTAAAGCAAAGATGAGAAGTTTAGGGGGCAGTGAGCCTAAATTAATGGGGTGAAACAACTAGAGCAGAAATAACAAGAACGATGACACAATGTGAAGAATATAACCAATGTTACTGAACAATATGTGTAGAAACTGTAAAATAGGAGCATGTTTTGCTGTGTATATTTTCACCAAAAATAACATAAAAATGTACTCTCTCTCCATCCTCAACAATCTTGATGCTATTATCCCACATTATTCAATCTACTGTTAACTTGCAGGAGGGCTTTAAGCAAGCCTCATCACCCCCATGAGACTTGGCTTCTCATGTGAGGTGGCAGGTATGATCATATTCTGAAGGCAGGGTAATCACTAGCCTCAAAGATGTCACGGTGTAACAAGAGCAGCAGATACATAGCCAATAGGACAAGTGCTCCAACAGATGACTAGGGGTGGTGAGTTTGGAGAACAGGAAAGAAGGGGTCCTGACGCTGGTGCAGTTGGCTTGCAAAGGCTTGACACAAGATCTGTTTAAACAGAACACAGGAGCAGAAAGTCCAGCAGACAAATGGGGGGTTGTCAAAAAACAAAAACCAAACCCACTGCCATCGAGTCAACTGCGACTCATAGCAACCCTACAGGACAGAACAGAACTGCCCCATGGGGTTTTAAGGCTATAAATTTTTACGCAAGCAGATTGCCACATCCTTCTTCCACAGAACGGCTTGTGGGTTCTAACCACTGACCTTTCTGTTAGCAGCTGAGTGCTTTTAACCACTCCTTCCCAACTTCAAATTCCCCAAATCCAGAAGCCTTCGGCTTCTCCATGGCTCAGGGTCACCAGATACTCACGTGCTGAAGTGGCAACAACCAGAGTCATCTATGCCCCACCACTCTGACAGGACGGTTCTGGGGACAGTGAGACAGCACTGGCCAAAAAGCTTTGAAAACTTTCATGAGCTTCCCAAAAGTTTGGCAACAATCCCCATGCATGAAATCTCTTAGCACGTCAGTCCACGAAGAACTGAAAGTTCCGCTCTTCCTAATGAAATCTCAAAAAAAAAAAGGAAAAATTGAGTTCAGGAAAGCCAAACCATTAAAACAAATCAGAGTCCCCAAAACTTTTCAAATATTTTTGCGGAACTCTTGTCAGAATCACAGTTCTTGGGAAATCCATGCCTCATTATGGAAAACAGTCACATAAAAGCCAACTACTTCTACAAAGAATCTCCACAAAGGATGGGTCATTTTTCTAGACTCCCTACAGAATGACAGGTATCAACACTTGAAAGTTTTACATCTTTTTATCCCTCCCTGACAAACCCTGCTGAAGACAGTTCTCCTGAGAGCTCCCCATCTGTCAAGCTCAGGGTTCAGAAAGGCAAAAAGGCTCTCTAAGCAAGACGAGGTTGGTAAATCCCACGTAACAATCCAAACTTACCTCCTGGCCAAGACTTGAAGGATCATCTCCTGAATCATGCCTCCTTACAGTAATTCACACTTTATTAAACTCTTTAATAGCCAGCATCTCATCCAGTGCTTACAAAAGAATAGCTCAGGGAGGCTGCTAATGATGACCAGCCCAATTTTAAAACTAAGGACACAAATAAGGTTTAAAAATGTAAAGTAAAAATACAGATAAATAAAAGATGAGAAGATCCATGTGCACTTCCCAAGCACAATCACAAGCACCTGTTCAGAAGCAAACTGTAGCCCATTTGACGAATAAATACAGATGAAAACTTCATTACCAGTGCAAACTCCGTCACTGCCTGGCAGGATTCACATATGTTCTTGTCAGAACCTACCATCAGATATCCAGACCTACAAGATGCACATTTCTGCCAGATCTTCACTATCTTATGTAATGCGATGGGGGGGGGGGAGGCCTATGGATAATTAAAATTCACCTTTTCCAATCATTTTAACTCCCTGTTCCAACCCCTTCTTTCACAGGGTATCTTCTGGAAGTGAAGGGAAAAATTTATACTTATCTTTTTCTGCTCATTCTCTTGTGTAAATGCTAAAAATAAAAGGGAGGGAGCGGTGATTCCCGAACATCTCTCTCAAAAAGCAAATGCAAAATGTGGTGGGGAGAGCCCTGGAGGCCGAGCTGCCAGCTCTGGCTCTGACACAGTATCACTCCGTGACCCTCAGGGAATCACTGCATCTCTGGGTCTCAGTTTCCCCTATCTGAACCCTAATGACGGCTCTTTTAAAGCAGATTTCAGAAGCGTCCCCAGCGCAGCAAACCAGTCAAGGGGCCCCAGAGGAGCTCCTGGGCGGAGAAAATGAGCATTTCAGGAATGAGCTGCTGGGATTTCTGGGGAGCCCAGGCTACCCACCCTCGCCTCTCCCGTCCTACGCAAAGCCAGTGGGCCAACTTCAAGTCGCAAACAAAAACCTGTTGGCACGGTGTCCTCTACGAAGACCGCCTATGGGGAGAGTAGAGGAAGGGTCTCTTCGAAGAGGCCAGCCCCCAAGCCCCTTCACCCACCCCACTAGACGCGCAGGGACGCTGGGCGGGGTCTCTCTATCCCACGCGGAACAAAAGACAGATGGAGCCCGGCTCAGCCGCCCCCGTCCCCGCTGTGCTGTGGGGGAGGGGCGGGGAGCGGGAACCTGCTCCCTGATGAGAGACAGAGGGCCCCGCTACAGCTCAAAGGAGGGACTGGCCAGGATGCGGAAAGAGAAGGGGATCCCCTTCCCCGATTCCTGGAAGGAGCGGGGGCTGTTCTCTGCACGGGGGCGGAGAGGGGAGCAGGCTCAGGAGGAAAGGGAGCCCATCAGTGGTGGGGGGTGTTCCAAGCTGAAAGGTAGAGGGCGAGGGTGCTCCAGGTCTGGAGTGGAAGTCAGGGGAGCCCCACACCCTGAGGACATAAATGGAGGAGTTCCCCGATAGGGAAACCGGATCCTTGCAGAAGAAAAAGGGATCAAGACTAGGAGGAGGCCATGCTCCAACCTGTGAGGTGGGGCCTGGCAGGAAAGAAGGGGTCCCTGCCTGGGGCGGGGGCCCAGCTGGGGCGGCGGGGGTCCATGTTCTGGGGGCCTTGCTCCAGTTGGGAGCCTGTGCTCTGCGGGCGTCCGCACCCTGGGGAGGAGGGGTACGCGCCCAGAGCCCCGCTCCAGTACCCCCGATCCCCCCTCACCTCCGCTCCTCCGGGCCCGCCCGGTGCGCGGCTGCGGCCGCCGGGAGCGCTGGGGGAGCCGGAGCTGCCAGAGACTGCGGAGCCGCCGCCGCGTCTAGCTTCGTTTGACACCCACACGCCAACATGGCCGCCGGGAGGGGGCGCGCCGGCTGCGTGCGCGCGCCC